GACTTATTCCATCCACAGGGAATAGAGGTGCAAGTAGGAGAACAAAATCCTTGAGAGTTAGCATATTCTACTTTCTACAATGTTGCTATTATATGATTGCAACATTCTCTGGCACCTGTCATACAAGAGCACCAAGCAGTGAGAACTTTACCATCAGGTTGAGTTGCAACCCAAAGGTCTTTTTTTTTCATTTATAGACATAGATACTCTTACATTACAAAGTAAAATTACGAAAAGGTCTGTCTTATTCGTCAGTATTTCTCCAACAAAGCCGCTGTCAAAAATATAGCTGTATGCTTTTTGGTCATTGTATTTACCGATATACTCAGTGTCGAATTCCCTTTAAGTATGTACTGAAAAATTTGTCCCAAAGTGACTGGTTGCCAGGTAGTCAAATTATCAATTTTCTGATCCTCTGAGATTAGCTTCGGATCTGGTAAACCAAACTCATCGAGTTTTTTCGCATAGTCATTTTTTAAAACTTTGGTTTGTTCGTCACAACTCATAATGATTGGAAGATCCATTTCTTCGGCGGAAAATGCTCGTGCAATCAATTCTGCTTTTTTGTATCCACTCACCGATATTCCTCTCACTGTAAGATAATCCTGAAGAGCTTGAACATTCATATTAAAAAACCGTTCATAAGAAGACCATAGGATATTTGATACATTAAAATCAGTTATTATAAATTATAAAATTCTAATTGTGAAATTCTATACGGCCATCTTGGGTTCAAAGTCCAACTTGCTACCCGCGCAAAATGTCGCCGATAACCCGGAAAGTGTTTATGTAATGAAATAATCTCTGAATAATATAATAATATAATAATGCTCAATGTCAGTTTCTTATTGTAACCATGATAAATAGCTCTTAGTAATATAGCCTCGTGTTATTGGTGGTGCAATGGTTTAAGGCCACATAAAATAAATTCCTTGATTCTCCTCACTACACTTTGAAAATGTCAAAGAGCCGGGAGGTTTATATTTTATTTTTATAATTTATATATCAATAAATAAATAATTCCTAACATTTAATATTTCAGTGAGTTCTGAAGTGAAGTGTCATAAACCAAAATAAACATATTACAGTCAGGGGTGAAACTAGCCCCTTTTAATTGGAGGGGTCTCTGCTAAAATTGCCCTGCGAAAGCCGATGATGCCCTGCAGCGAAATTTTTTTTGCCACTATACCTCCCAAAAATGTTGGCGAGCGGGGGGGGGGGGGGGGGGG